ACTAAAGAGGAAACACGGAGTCTGGTGACGTCCAGGAGTTCAACACTTCAGTCAATGACCACAAAAAGTTTTCAACCAAGTATTAGAAATTAACATTTTATTTACAATTATTTAATCTGTCAAATTACTTTTGAGCCTCTGAAATGAGGGATTGTGAATAAAATGTTTTAGTTTCTCACATGAATCATTCTGTTTAATCCACTGAATTAAAGTTTCTGCGCCTGAAAGGTTTCTTCACCATTCATGGTGGTAAAGTACAGAACCAAAACTAGAAAAATGTTTGTCCAAACAGATACAGACCTGACTGTATTTGGACTTCAAACATCCTTAAAAGGTTTCGAGAATGACAAGAAAAAAAAACTAAAAGAAGCTGGAGGAAAATTTGTCAACTAATAAAGTTAATTGTGACAAAGCCAACAAAAACACACAAAAACTTCTTTAACTCAGTTATTTTGACTGATATTGAACTAAACATTGCTGTGGTAGTTTGAGAATGAGCCCAAGGGTGACATCTTACAATATTACTACTTAATGGTTCAACCAAGACAGCACCAGCTCTGTTACATTTCATCCCATTTTCTTCTGTCATGAAAGAAATGGTAAATGGTCTGAACTTATATAAAAATAAAGAAGCAGGGTGACATGCATTCATTCAATACATTCTAGGCCTTTAACYGTCGTTGGTTTGGTTTTACCAACAAATCCAAACAAACAGCTCGAGTGCAGAAACTGAAGCATGGCGTCTTACTTGAACGGGTGTCCCTCGTTGGACTTCTGCACGGCCTGGACAACAGACTTGTAGATGCGGAAGGTGATGGTGACGCAGAGCAGAGCCAGCAGCAGGTAGGAGACCACGCTGATGACGCTGAAGGCTGCCAGCGACAGCAGCAGCAGCATGGACAGGCCGAACACCACACCCGACTTCTTGGGGTCTCGCCAGTGGATCAGATCCTTCACTGCAGAAAMGTAAAGGTGGGACTCAGACTGCTGACAGCAGACTACAGTTACATTCACTGTAGGTCACAGCTAATCATCAGCTTAAAGGGTTTGATCATTAATGGGCAGATTATTCAACAAGTAAATAAGACGAATTAATAAAACATGTCGTAGAACTGGTTGTCTTTGAGGGGCAGTATGAAAATATACTGGATGAGAATCCAGGACACCACGTCTAAACATCTGTAAAAGTTTGAACTATTTCAAAAACACAAATAAACTGTGGTCTGAAGTCTACAAAACAACCATCTGCAGGCGTCTGAATCATGTTTTTATTAACATTCAGGTTTTTATTAACATTCAGTGAACAAGCAGCCTGTTATGTAAAGCTGAAATGTAGTGTTGAAAAGGGCTGGCACTTGTTAAAACTCCTCCTCCTCAGTGTGTGTGTGTGTGTGTGTGTGTGTGTGTATATGGGGGATATTTAAAAAGCCTTATATGAGTGGTGCTCTAAAAACCACGTGGTCTGATGCCTCAGGGACTATTATGGTCTCAGTGCTGCAGCTACTTAAATAGGAGTGCCCCCCTCTTTTGTCGGCCAAGCAGTGTCGTAGTACTGACTACCACTCAAGATACAAAATACTCGGTTTTATGCACTTCTGACTACATAGTACCAAGGTTTTCTTTTCAAGAACTACAAAATTTCTGTAGAAAAGTTGAAGGCAGCTGCTGCCCAAAACTCAAATTRTTAAACTATTATGGTGACCATGGTAATGCACACTGTGTCCGTCACTCCCTGACTACAAATACAGTGAGAAACAGAGACGATGTGAAATGTAAGCCTCAAAAATCACTGTGTAAAAACTAAAAGTCGAGCGAGGGCAGAATACTGATGGTCACRTGTAAATATTTGTTTCTGCTGTGTTTTATGCAAGATGAGTCAAACTCAAGGCCTACAGGCTAACTGTGGTCCACCACAGCATTTTGTAGCAAGCAGGCCCATCCAAGAAGCATTTATGTCTCAATGTCTGGCTTTCAAGCCAGCATTGACCATAAACTACATATCCATAATGCATATTGATAATTTTACCTGCAAAATGACAGCATACCACCACTAGGTGGAGCTGAACAGGGTTAAAAAGTAGGCGTAATTAACCGTGTAAAATCTCGACAGCTATTTTTACTGCCCAGTTGAACCAGGAAGTGGGAACTTTCCACAAGTGCTAATTCCCTGTAGGAAAGTGGGAGAGTTCAGAATTCAAGATGGCAGCTACCCACCACAACTAAACAGTGAGTCAAACTCTTTTACTTTTAATAGTATTTTTGTTTTATTTATTTCACATTTAGTCAGTTGTACACGTGGTACTTGTCATAGAGTTTAGAGGAGGACTTGTTAAAATGCTGTTTCTATGCAGGAAATACCACGTCGTTGTTAGCTGTGCTCAGCAGCAGAAATAAAACAAAGAACGTGACGTTTCATGTTTAGTCCAAGTTAAACACTAAACGTTAAAGTTAGACACGAAGCGTTAAAGTTAAAGACGAAAACGTTAAAGTTAAAGACGAAAACGTTAAAGTTAAAGACGAAAACGTTAAAGTTAAAGACG